AAGTTCAGTTTTGGTCCGGCTTTGACATGGTACGAGCTACGACGATTATTTCAGGTTGGGGTTCGGTACAATACGGGTTACAGTGGCTCTGAGTGACTATTCGAGGTTCGACATTGGTCCGGTATGGGCTGCGGTGGTGCAAACAGGTTAACCCAGCCTCGGTATTGGTACGGTGATGGCTCGGTACTGTCATGGGACTGCAGTATTGTACGACATTTGGCATGTCTCCAGGTTCGGTGTTGGCTTGGATTGACTCTGTGTTGTAGAAGAATGCGCCATACACCATTTTCTGGTTCAGTTCGCGATCTGGTTCGACCACGTTCGAAACTACTCCGGTATGTCTACGTTCTACGATATTCAGTAGCGGCAAGGGACGACCTTCGACAAAATTTTAGGCTCGGTAGTAGTTCGACATCGGCACGGTACTCGCTGCTCCATTGTTTCGGGTTCGAAACTGGACCGGCATTAGTACGGCACGGGCGGAAGTAGGATTCCACAGGACGGCAGGTGCTATTGGACTGAGTGGTGAATACGGGTTCAACGTTGGGGGGGCGGATATGACGGTGTTTGTCGTTGTACATCTGTGTGCGTGTGTGTGTGTGTGTGTGTATGTGTGTGTGTGTGTGTGCGTGTGTGTGTGTGTGTGTGTGTGTCGGGAGAGAGAGAGAGAGAGAAAGAGAGAGAGAGAGAGAGAGGGAGAGAGAGAGAGAGAGAGAGAGGGAGAGAGAGAGAGAGGGAGGGAGAGAGAGAGAGCGCCACATATCTGCGAACTTCTTATATCATTCCATCAATACATACACCGAAGACAGCAACGATTCGAAATTCTTAAGCCCGTCTCGCGTTCTCCATACAGAAATAGCATAATCTGATACACAAACTGCTGTATTTTCTCGATSGACACAATCTATATATAATTTATGCAATCCACGGTTCCATTTCCATGTCAACAAATCGAAGCGTACTCGAAATGTAATATGTACTGTGTTCAACCGGCACAATCGACATATAAATCACGCCTCTCACTCATCGTTTCATACTTTAAAATCCCATCCTCACCGGTGATGTAACACACACAGTCGCAGACACACACACACACACACACACACACACACACACACACACACACACACACACATCCAAGCAAGTGTGAATGTAGGCTGACATCCACGTACACACATGCACTATACGTTGTACTGTGCTTTGTTCTCCCTGACTCTTTTTGAACGTCGCATTCTGCAATCCTCTTTTTCCTTGCCTGCTTTTCTTTTTCTACCGCTTATTCCCTCACTCGCTTCGCTCAAATCACGCTCTCTTTCTTGAGACTCCTATCCCGACTCTTTCGCTTCTTCCTTGTCAGATGTTTCTTCGTTCTYACCTRACWGGACCACCAAGTTGATCACACTCTKACTCTTTTTCATGCTCTGCCGCACTGACAYYCTCCACGTCAGCTCTCCTTTCTCCCATTGTTGACTCYGAAACTATTTGCGTTCYTGSACCAGTGCATTCCATAAGCACTTGTCCTTCCCCCCCATCTTTCTCATGTGMACTTTGCTCCCTGGTGTCTTCGTCGGTACCTTGCGCCTGTGCAGTGATGACAGTYGTATCGTGTGTTCCTTGTGACTKCTTGGAATGCGAATCRACATTCCCTGCCACCGCCTTCACTACCTCATGTGCCTGGAATTTTGGCCCTTCTTCGTCTGATGCTTTTTGTYGCTGGTCCTCTTCAATCTTTTCGTCCTTCCCGTCATCGCCAACAACTTCCCCGCCTGCTGTTGGTGTTGTCSCACTCCTGGCTCCCACTGCASTGATGCCATCMGAYGGTGTAAGTGTTGGTTGCGGTGTGCTCGATGGCYRCTCACTGAACTCGTCTCCCATTGCGTTTTGCATCCTGAGATGCCCTTCCTTGTCTGCCACACTCTCGCCACCACCTCCTGCTKCTGCTGAATTGATCTTCTTCCTTGCACMCGTGTGTCCCTCAAGGCCTTGACTGCATCCCACAAGTATGTCGTTGTCGTACATACAGTCCGTTGCACGGTAGTCCAAAGACCATATGACRGCTTCATACGATGGACTCGATTTYTTGTCGTAGAAYGCAGCGCAATACTCGAGAAGGTRATTTTCACGCAGGAATTYGAATAACGAGTTCACTTTGTCYGATATTTTKTGGTCTGGCGCCTCTCTGTTTGCCTGCTTCACGCGGGTAGACAAGTTGTCCTTTGCGATTTCATAARACCTGCTCCWGAGGACTCTTTCCCTGAACCCCSATTTYCCACCTCTTTGGATARCCATGTGCCATCTGCCATCWATCACACAAGGCTCGAAAAGASCTGGATGCCATATGATGTGATGCCCCCAGTCRTGTTCATATGACTCTTTGTACTTYGTTTCTAGAAAGTGAGGTCCTCCTTTCATCTCCTTCATGTCATATGATATATTATCACCCGGTGCAAGTTGTTTGGGGACRTCGYCCRGGATGYGAAAGAGGKGATCATCCTCTATGTCCATCCCATMTGGGTTGTCCACTGATTCCTTGTCTGCACGCGCAACATTTTGAGTCTCGYCGTCCACCGCTCCTTCTATGTCATTGCGAACTCTCCTCACCAGTGAAACGAATCYTGGGGTAGCTTCCTTCATGCCGCACTTGGATGTGCTGCCTTCCATTGCACCACCTGTTTTCGGCGTTGTTCCACGCATCACATTATCGGGCCTGGTACTCGCGATAGTGCCGCCAACATCTTCCTCCATCGCTTGTTGACCACCCAAAGCGGACAGCGGAGGCGTTTCGTCTCTCACTGCATTTTGATGTGCATCCGGCAATGGCAGGTCAATCTCCTCATCCTCTGTCTCCTCCTCAGTGTCCATAATGTCAAACTGCTCCCCAACGTCCATTACCTCGCAGTAAACCTTCGTATCAATTTTGACTCGCTTCCTTTCAAACCACAGGTGTTCACATCGGCCTAGAAATATCTCAATTGCACCGCGTTTGGCGTTGTGATATCCTTGTAGATGCTGGATCGCTATCACCTTACGGTGCAGATAATCTGTATCTGTTGGTGTTGCAGGTGCAATGCAAAAAAGATAGCTCCACAGAGAGTCCCTCTTCTTGCCGAGCTTCAGGAACATGTCTCGGTCTGCACGATGTTGAGGTTTCGACCGTTCAAAGTGACACCTGTTATCTGGATTGTGGACGTGGCGATCGATAAACAAAGTGGAGTACTCCATCAGGTTTGAGGAACCATCACATGCGACGACATGGCGTCCTGAGCGCAGCAAGTCCCACGTTGTTCCTACCTGAACGTTACCCAGTAACAGAACACCTTCCCCTTTCCTTCGAAAACCAGGTGCATAAGTCTTTCATCTTTGCAGGTTCCCTCTCCCATATCTCGTACACAGGTTTGCTATCGCCTCGCACTCCGATTGCCTCTTTTGTACATCGTACAAATAACTCCTCCACGTAATGCGTGTCGAAGAGAGTGTTCCCACGAGGCTTTGCGACCGTGACCTTTTTCAAGTCGTTGTCTGTATCGTGCAGCACAATGGTCATGGAGTCGYGCCCTCTCAACGGAAGGTTCCSAACTTGGGCGCAGGATGATGCTGCTTCGCTATAACGATGTCAGCGCCCTGGAAGAACTCTCACACCGTCCCACCTGAAGACKTTCCTCAACACCGTTTCCTTGACTTTCAATGCGCTGAATATGATTAGCGCCCAATGCGACCCGCACAACACCGTCATCATTTGGCGGAGCTCGTGAAACCTTTGCTCRCTCCATGCGTCGAGATTCTTCAACGGAGCCAAGTCCAATACTACAAGGTGACAACTCAGCTTYCTCACGGCACGAGTCAAATCTTCTGCCGGGTGCAGTGCATCCATAGGTGTGATGCAGACAGAAAGATACGTCGTGTGATCTTTGCGCTTGTCCCACATTATGTGTTGAGCATTTGAGCTGATCCGTCTCAGCTYGTCCCGCAATTGCTCAAYTGCGCCAAGAATCTCATGCACGAAAAGCTTGAGAAAGTACGGACACTCCATATATATTGCAGTCGTCACCTTGTGGCCCCCGACATTCCCTTTTCCAAGTTTCSCCTCATCCACGCCGCCCAATCRTTTTGGGACATTGACAGTCTTCTYTGCTACGATCTTGGACTTGGTTTCTTCCCATTTCTCTGTCGTCAACCCTCGCGATGTAAACCGCCTCAKTATGGTATCGTAGCCAATGAAGAACTTGTCATTTCACTCCTCCTCCGACCTCTKCTCTATCTTGAAGAGGATATAGTTAAACATGTGAACYATATATCTCTCCCTTCTCACCTCMACGTACAGGTCTTGCATGTTCATCATTTTTTTCACAAATGCCCTTCCGCTCGTRACAACAACRTGTCCCGCAAGTATTTTCTCGAGGGCCATTTCCTTCTCCCGTGATGTGAAATCGCCGAACACCTTCCATGCGCTYGCGGGGGGATCATTKATGCAAACATAGAAACCCTGYGAACTTTTGTTGGACTGGACGTAGTGCACCAACACTTTTTTGCCTTTCACCGTCTTCGYTGCAGGGCCCGGTCYTACTGCCTCGCCTRCTTTCCCTTCCTGATCCACTGGTCTCACGCCGTCCTGCCCTAGCAATTCGCMTTTTTCCACACAACTCTGCCGCTCGCCGCAAGACACATGTAGGGCCGCAAAAGGTTTGATCAATTCCTCACAAATCTTTTCGCCAACGACTGGTTCCAGAGCGATGTGTCARGAKTCATCCGTATAGCTTTCCGTACGAACTCCTGATATTGCTCACGCTGTGCAGTCCTTTCTTCCACYGTCTTTGCCTGATGCCAATCACCTTTTGGCTCTTTYATACTCTGTCACAGGCCTCTTATAGCAGTCACAGCCATTCGAAWCGACGACGRGATAGCACGTRTCTCCCTGGTGTTGTCAAACGTGGAGATGTAYGCATACCCCTCCAAATGGTCATCGTCAAAATAYACAACCCGCGCCTTCCAAGAATGCACGCCCCACTTRTGGGCAGCAGACGATTTCGCAGCGACCAGCCTCTTTGCTGCCTCCGCTGTATGTTGGCCGACCACTGTGTACCAATGGTAGGAGGYCACSTTGTCATCATCCCACTCCTCCGRCTTCACACGTTCCCACTGCTTCCGGCCATCCTTTTGCACTTCARCGACAGGAGCAAGAATCCACGTGTTTATGTCCCACTGCTTCTGCTTTTCCGGGTGTTCYATTGCATCCCTGATGGAGGTGACCAACATCTCGTTCAACGGCCTSTGGTTGTATTGCACGCCTTCCGAAGGGTTGGRCAATATYTTGACCACGTCAACGAACACTTGGGTAGGCCGATCTATCGCATTGYCGTCCTCGTCATATTCCMRRAAAAAAACATATYGTGGTGTCGATAGTATCGTTGGTCAACTCTCCAGGCTTTGACGCTGTATGTCTCGGGTCGACCCCCGCCGCTTCGTCCCYAGAGTCCGCCACTTCCTTTGTCTCCTCAGCMTTTGCTTTYTTCTTCGGTCTCTAGGAAGATCGAGTTCGTTCACGCTTTTCCTTTGCTGGTTWAGCGGATTGAGCCTCTAAGGATCTCTTGTAAGCCTCCGTCGAGGCCTGTAGGCTGATGAGCTTAGCTTGTCTCCGCTTCTCTTCCTCTGCCCTCCCACATCTCAKTTTCCTCTTGCGCATGCACACARACCTCTGTGTGCCATGCAACACATCGTCATCTTCTGCCGGACCGTCATGACTTGTGGCACGGGAARACTGTTCCCGCCTTTTCTACGACCCTGTATTCCCGCCGTCGTCGACGTCCGCCCCACCCTCATCTCCTTCGCTCCCCCCTTCGTAGCTGTCTTCCCGTTCTGCGACGTCCTCGTCACTCGCTTCCTCATTTTSTTCTTCTTCACTCCCATCGCCTTCGTGACCACCATCCTCTTGGCCTTCACTACCATCGCCTTYGGCGAAGCYATCCTCCAAGTGTCCCTCTTCATCGTGTGCACCRTCKCGGAACCGYTGTTCGTCTTCGTCCCCTTCCGTGTCTTTCRCATCATTGCCATCGGGCCACCGCCCACCGTCTGAGTTGAAAAAGCGCGAGTCCTCCTCTGTGTTTTCGTCGTCATCCTCATGGTCAGTGGCCCCACCAGGCGGAGTCAAAGAAACGTGTGCCGCATATTCTGCATGTGATGGTGCCTGCGTCGGAGACACACCCTTCGGCCGGAGCAGACAAGCTGATTTGCTCACGCTCTTTGCCTGTGTCGATGCGGCCCCACTTTTGCTTATACGGGCAGATGTTTTCGGTTCCCCACAACTCTTGCSCACCGTCTTTGGCGAGCTCACAGAGACRRCAGTTCRCAAAACRGCTTGGCCCATTGCCTGCAGCTTGTGACGTCGCACCATGTCTGCGAAGTCTCCAAGATCACAGTCGAAGGGCACGAAGGGATTTGACAAATGCAGGTTGTTGTCAATCGTCACGATATGGTTCGACACCTTAWAGCAATTAACGTGTTTGAGGAACTCGAACGGCCTGAGCATCACCATTTGCGACGCATCCTTCTTCTAGGACTTGTCGAACGGAGGCATTGATGCAGCGCGGATGTCGTAACCTTGGAACTTCTCGACGTGGAGAAACACGAGCTTGTAGTTGTCATGCACCTCCTSACCRTCGATGTCGAAACACGTCGTGAGATGGAATCTCATGTACTCCTYGTCAGGCATGTTCTTATCAAACGAGTAAGTCTTGATACCSCCGCRCGGGTAGTAACCACCACTCTCATCCCGCAAAAAAACAACTGGCCCACAACAGGGGACTTTCATACCRAGGTGCCAATCGATTGCCCAATACTTCTCTTGGAACGTGACCGCCCTTCCGACAACCTTCGGCGTAGARACCCCTGAGGAGCACGCAGCTGCATAACACCGCATCCGACGCCGACGCAACACACRGAAGAAACARAGGTTAAGAAGAAGGGGCGGTGGAAGGCGTCCAAAACCGGTGACAGTAGCAAGCTGCTCTTGTCGGGCACCACGCAAAGCATGTGCTTCCACAAACGAACGTTCACAATGGCAGCAGGCAAACAGGAAAGCACTTGCCTCCACCGCGAAATCCCTACCACTGTAACGGGGAAGGGCACGTCTCTAAGCACGCCAAYCTGCCKTTTYGCTTAACGAGAAAGCGATCGCCAGTCCGCATCAGAGCACTGTAAATCCGAGCATCAGATGGTCCGGCGTCGCCGAGGCGCCAGACCATTGGATGGCACAACCATCGGATGGTGGTTCGGTTGGCAAGGCGTCGGACCGTAGGAGGCAGAGGCACCCGACACGAGCAGCAGGAAGGTGCTGCAGCCGCAACAACTCCAACCACAACAACTCTAACCAACGTTCGGACAACAACTCTAACCAACGTTCAGACAGCGGGAAGGTGTTGCAGCTGCAACAACTTCAACAACAGCAACTCCAAGCACAACAACTCTAACGTACGTTCGGAGAGCTGTTGTGCCGAAAGCCTGGATGGTCCGGCCCCTCGACGACGCCGGACCATCTTATGGTTTGGCGCTTTGACGACGCCGGACCATCCGATGGTCTTGCGCCTTGACGACGCCCGAACCATCCRCGGCCACAGCATGTGCAGCAARATACGAACCCTTGCTTACATGGTCTGGCGCCGAGACGACGMCGGACCATCTRATGGTCTGCCGCCTCGACGGGGGCATACCATCCGWTGGTCTRGCGCCTCGACGACGMCGGACCATCCGGTGGTCTGGCGCCTTGACGAYGMCRCACCATCGGGAGGGCYAGCAAAGGTAGGGACCCAGCAGAGGGACCCAGCATCAGAGGAACCACAGCAAGACTGACGGACATTGGGACAGATGCGCCAGCAACTGCGGCCGCAACACGTGCAGCGGGACACGAACCCTTGCTCACATGCCACAACAACAGTGCGACGCAGCAGCGRCAGCAGCTGYTGTGCCGAAAGCCTGGATGGTCCGGCGCCTTGACGACCACATCTACAACCGCAACATCTAGAACCAGAACAACATCAGTGCTCRCTTAGACGCCACAGCGACAGCRAGAACARCATTGTTRWGTAGCTGGTGTGCCGACCACAACATCTKCAACCACAGCGTCTGCTACCGCAACAACATCAACGCTCACTTGGACTCCACATGAACAGCGAGARCAGCAGCGTTGAGTTGCTGGTATGCCGGACGCCTCGATGGTCCGGCGCCTTGACGACGCCGGACCATCCGAMCGTCTGGCACCTTGACGACGCCGGACCATCGGAGCAAAGGCAGGGGCACARCAGCTGCACCAGYAGAGGGACCCAGCATGAGCGGCTGCRGCTGCAGCAAACGCAGCACCTCYGACAACAACATCAGCGGTCACTTAGACGTCAYAGCAACAGCGAGAACAGCAGCGTCGAGCTGCTGGTATGCCGGACGCCTCCATGGCCTGGCGCCTTGACGACGCCGGACCATYGGAGGAAAGGCAGGGGCACAGCTGCAGCAAACRCAGAGGGACCCAGCATGASCGGTTGCAGCTGCAGCAAACGCAGCACCTCCGACCACAACATCGACAACCACAGCATCTCGAACCACAACAACATCAACGCTCACTTAGACRTCACAGCAACAGCGAGAACAACAACGTCGAGCTGCTGGTATGCCKGACGCCTCGATGGTCCGGCGCCTCGACGACGCCGGACCATCCAATGGTCTGGCGCCTTGACGACGCCGGACCATCCGCAGGTGCGGCGCCTTTACTGCGCCGGACCATAGCAGGAAAGGCAGGGACACAACACCCGCACCAGCAGAGGGACCCAGCATAAACGGCTGCAGCTGCAGCAAACGCAGCACCTCCGACCACAACATCGACAACCACATCATCTCGAACCACAACAACATCAACGCTCACTTAGACGTCACAGGAGGGCAGGGGCACAGCCGCAGCAAACGCAGAGAGACCCAGCATGAACGGCTGCAGCTGCAGCTAACGCAGCACCTCCGACCACAACGTCGACAACCACAGCATCTCGAACCCGGACCATCCAACGGTCTGGCGCCTCGGCGACGCCGGACCATCCAATGGTCTGGCGCTATGACGACGCCGAACCATCCGATGGTCTGGCGCCTTGATGACGCCGAACCATCGGAGGAAAGGCAGGGGCACAGCTGCAGCAAACGCAGAGGGACCCAGCATGAGCGGCTGCAACTGTAGCAAACGCAGCACCTCCGACCACAACATCGACAACCATAGCATCTTGAACCACAATAACATCAACGTTCACTTGGACGTCACAGCAACAATGAGAACAGCAGCGTCGAGCTGCTGGTATGCCGGACGCCTCGATGGCCCGGCGCCTTGACGACGCCGGACCATCCAATGGTCTGGCGCCTTGACGACGCCGGGCCATCCAATGGTCTGGCGCCTTGACGACGCCGGACCGTCCAATGGTCTGGCGCCTTGACGACGCCGGACTATCCGCTGGTGTGGCGCCTTTTTGGCGCCGGACCATCGCAGGAAAGGCAGGGACACAGCACCTGCACTAGCAGGGGACCCAACATGAGCAGTTGCGGCTGCAGCAAACGCAGCACCTCCGACCACAACATCGACAACCACAGCATCTCGAACCACAACAACATCAATGCTCAATTAGACGTCACAGGAAGGCAGGGGCACAGCTGCAGCTAACGCAGAGGGACCCAGCATAAACGGCTGCAGGTGCAGCTAACGCAGCACCTCCAACCACAACGTCGACAACCACAGCATCTCGAACCTGGACCATCCAATGGTCTGGCGCCTCGGCGACGCTGGACCATCCGATGGTCTGGCGCCTTGACGACGCCGGACCATCCGACGGTCTGGCGCCTTGACGACGCCGGACCATCCGATTTTCTGGCGCCTTGACGACGCCGGACCATCCAATTGTCTGGCGCCTTGACGACAACGAACCATCGGAGGAAAGGCAGTGGCACAGCAGCTGCACCAGCAGAGGGACCCAGCATGAGCGCCTGCAACTGCAGCAAACGCGGCACGTCCAACCACAACATCTTCAACCATAGCCTCTTAAAACGCAACAACATGAACGCTCACTTAGACGCCACAGCAACAGCGAGACCAGCAGCGTTGAACGACTGGTATGCCTGACGCCTCGATGGTCCGCCGCCTCGACGAAGCCGGACCATCCAATGGTCTGGCGCCTTGACGGCGCTGGACCATCAGAGGAAAGACAGGGGTGAAAAACATGCAATGGAAAGCCACGACACAGACAAAAAAAAGGCTTTTGTACCATACCTTTCGATGCCATCTCCGTCTGCGGGGCGCCCTCCCGATGGGGTGCTCGATGGTTGTGCTTCGCCTTCGCCGCAGCTCGGCCTCTTACACCGGCGAACAAGGGGCAATGAAACGTGTCACTGGACGGACTGTCGATGAGCATGCCAAAGCTCTGCCTTCCGCAATGCTAAAGGGCACCAATCACCGATGTGCCTTGCTAATGATCAGTATGACTTCCAATGGGAGCCCTCCTCCTCCTCGATCAAGTTCGTTGATTCGAATAGATAGTTCGCCTGTCAACCTCTTCCCTCCTCCNATGATCAGTATGACTTCCAATGGGAGCCCTCCTCCTCCTCGATCAAGTTCGTTGATTCGAATAGATAGTTCGCCTGTCAACCTCTTCCCTCCTCCTCGTCTGCTCCTCCTTCTCTCCTGCTGCTTCCTCCCTCTCTTGGCACTCACCACCCACTTGGCGTTCAACGCGCAGACTACAAATGGCAGATCCTATATACACAACACCACATGGCGGACTTTTTTTTTTTTTTTGTTCGTCTGGCGACGAACCAATAAAAAATAAAAAATAAAACACACACACACACACACACAGACAACAGAAGTTACCACCTTTTTTTTGTTCGTTTGTCGACCAACCAATCAAAAAAAGAAAAAAGAAAAAAAAAACAAAGACAGACAACAGAAGTTACCGATTGGTTTCAAGATCCAATCAAACCGATCGACCAATCAATCAATCAATCAATCAATCGATTGATTGATTGATTGATTGATTGATTGATTGATTGATTGATTGATTGATTGATTAAGTAAAAAAAAAAAAAAAACGCCTCGGCCTTTTCTCCTACTCTTCCTCCTATCATCCTCCTCCTCCTCCTCCTCCTCCCCCTTCTCCTCCTCCCCCTCCTCCTCGCCGGCGTTGGCCCTTTCCTCCTGCTCTTCCTCCTCCTCCTCCTCCTGCTCCTCCTCCTCCTCCTGCTCCTCCTCTTCCTCCTCCTCCTCCTCCTCCTAGTCTTCCCTGTCAACCTCTTCCCTACTCCTCGACTGCTCCTCCTCCTCGCCTCCTCCTCCTCCTCCTCCTCCTCCTCCTCCACCTGGCGCTCACCGCCCACCTGGCGCTCACCACACAGACTTGCATATGGCAGATCCTATCTACACAACGCCAGATGGCGGACCTTTTTTTCCTTTTTTTTTTGTTTGTCGACCAAACAATAAAAAAAAGAATTWAAAAAARAAAATACATAAATAAAAACCGAGACAGAAAACAGAAGTTACCGATCRATTTWAAGATCCAATCAAATCAACCAACCAATCTATCAATCAATCAACCAATCGATCGATCTCCTCTCAACTCAATCAATCAATCAATCAACCAATCAAATCAATCAATCAATCAATCAATCAATCAATCAATCAATCAATCAATCGATCGACCGTTTCCACCTCCTCCTCCTCCTCCTCCTCCTAGTCTTCCCTGTCACCCTCTTCCCTCCTCCTCGCCTGCTCCTCCTCCTCGCCTCCTCCTCCTCCTCTTCTACTCCTCCTTCTCTCCTACCTCTCCTGGCGCTCACCGCCCACCTGGCGCTCACCACACAGATTTGCATATGGCAGATCCTATCTACGCAACGCCAGATGGCGGACC